TCTTCTCTTACATTTGTCTCCGCCTTAAGATATACTTTCGGTATTTCGGGTGCGTACATAACTAGGACAACTAAGGTTTGACCGAGGGTAAAATTTTGTTGGTTCTTTTTTTATTGAGCTGTTAAACTGTTTTTGTACGTTTATTTTGACATATGCCCACTTCTGCTGGTGGACTTATAGTGATTTCGGAGTACCTTTTGTTTGCACGCTCAACCGCGAGCTAGCTACAGTCCTGGGTAGAATCGCGGTAATGTAACTCGTTACTTTTTTTGGTAAATTTGAACTGTAGCTCGATAAAGTTTTTTAATTAACTGTTACGATAACTTAAATACTGTTTCGGAAAATGTCATCTAAAAAGTCTCTGCAAAGATACAGATACTTTTTGTGAACAAGAGACCCTATTTTGTGAACTCTGCAGAGGATTCAACCATGTGCGCGGGTTGGAATCCACAATAGACGCGACAAAATAAAACAAGAACTGAAAACGTTTTTCGTCGAAGCAAAGTGCCGGCGCAGAGGGCAGTCGTTTCGCTGCTTCTGTTTTTCATTTTTCATCTCGCAGAAAAGCGCATTTAGCACTTCGATTAATTTTAACCTCTTTGTGCGTGGCTCTCTCGCGGAGACTTTGCCCTCTCCGGCCTCATCGAACACCCCCGCCCTTCAGTCAAGCGACAGAGCCAACTCGCGGAAACACGCGACGCGTAGGCTCCTAACGGTGAACAGTTTAGCGCCGAACTATACTCCGTGTCACTAGTTGCGTGCAGTACAGGCGAAAGAAACGCCAGGCGATGGAAAAAAGGGCGATCACTTGAAAGGCTGGGGAGGAGGTGAGAAACCTCCTCTCCACTCTAACATTCCTGGTGCTCTTCCTCTCCTACCCCGCCTTCCTAGAGCTCGCCCTTTCTCTCCTCCCCTGGTGTCGCTTTCACCTGCACTGCACGCAACTAGTGACACGGAGTATGGAGCCTCTGTCGTCGGTGCCGCAGAAGTCGCAGCCGAAAGCGAGTCGCCGCCAAACTCAATATCCGATGTTTTATTTCAGTGACAGTCCTTTCGGTTCAGTTAAAAATAACGGTTTTGTTGCGGTTTTAGGTTAGGGTTTGGTGGTTCGACACTCTGGTTAAAAGCTACGTGCTGATTGCGCATGATTACAACAGCCGCTTTGTTTCGTCTCGCGGCGACAGGAACGACACCTTGTCCGTCTACAGCTATTTAGTTTTGGTTGCTTCATTGAGAACGTGCCATTTGCATCCTCGAAGGAGCATAAGCCAGCGAGACAATCAAGCCGTTAGTCACCTCCAGTGCAATTTTGCTGTTTCAGGGGCCACTTCCCATGGGCAAGCGAATTGTGCCATGAGCCCGTAGACCCTAGATTAAAATCGACACAGCTCGCGTAAGAACCGAGCCATTCCATTCCCACACCATTCCGGGCAGAAGACATCTAATTGCATTCCCATTCCATTCCCCCCAGCCCTGCCACCATTCCCTTCCCCTTCCATTCCGGGGTTGCGAAAGTTCAGAATGATTCCGGAATAATTCCAACTCCGGAGTGGAAACTCCGCGACACTGGTTTCGTGTAAGCTATTGCATAAAACGACGTTTTTCGAAGTTTTTATTTTACCGAACTTCAACTGGTAGCGTATATGTACTTCTCACGCACTGAATATTTTATTTTCAGAATCTTTACTTACAAAAACTTGACTTAGCATGCGCGCATGATTCCTCTTAATAACAATAAAAGTGCGTTGCGATAAAAAAAAAGATTAACCAAACGGTGCAATGACGTATTGCGATGTATTCCATCAACCTGCAAATATCACCTACGCAAAGCAGGAAGCTGCTGTCCTATTCAAATTAATAATGTACCAATCTCGGTATTACACTCAGTTGCGAGAGACTGCAGGGCCATTTATTTACAGTATTTTTCTATGAAAGGTAATCATTTAAAAACAAAAACAAATATATAAATCGACATCAAGTGCTCATGTGGTATTTCGTTTGATGAAATAATGGTTGCGCTAGCATTTTAAGAGTTTGAGTTGTCCCACTTTCATATGGTTCTGTTAAAATAAGCAACCCAAAATGCTTCTAAGATTTTTTTTTCTTTTTTACGTTTCGTAGTGAACAATTGGGGAAACACGACAGTAGCGAAATTACGTTTCATTCTCCATTTTGAACTTGTAATACATTTCTGGAAGGTGTTGTATGCACATTAAACTTGCTTATATTTTATTATAATAATCTCTCGAGAGGGAGAGCAAGGTGGACAAAGGACAAACACAATCGTTCTTATCCAGCTCGCTTGCACCTTTGCAATAAGTGCATTATCGATATATTTTATATCGGATGAGGAAGTTCGAAGCCCGGGAACTTTCGATACGGACATTTACGAGCACCTCATGTCGCTGTGTGAACGCATGTACTGATCTTGAATAACATGCCACTTATGCTATAGGTATGCGGAGCTTTTTGCATTAAGACGTAAGTTCGTACCACCAATCGCACTTCCGATCTTTGTCGAATAATATACGGGAGTTTTCATCTCATTTTAAGCCCGGTTTTGAGGTAAATATTTTAATTTTTACCAAAAATGTATATGTTTTGGGTGCAGTCTTGAAATGAAAGAAAGTTAAGAACGTGCTAACAATAAGTTTGATGGATCTTGTTTTGTTTTTTTTTTGTTTTTTTTTCAAGTTATAGATGATTGAAGAGGCCAAGGCGGAAACTGACGTTTCTCCCAGCTGCGGGGTATCGCATGTTTGACCGCTTGCTATTTTCTCAATTCTCAAAATAAAGCTCTAGGACTTTTCTGTGACACTATGGAAATATATTTCATCATTGTTAAGAAATAAAAAAAAAAAACTTAATGTACAAGAAAACTTCAAAAAAATCCGGAACTGTTTTTGTTTTATATATCTGTTGACTAAGTTTGAGAAGTTCTTTCGAGTGACCTAATTAAAATATTTTTATTGCCTTCCCATCACAAAAAAACTCTTCTATCTCTTTAACCATGTTGATTTAACCTGAGACTGGGATAGAGGAGAAGCATCAAAACGTAGAAGGTACAGAAAATAGACAGGACGACGTCTCAAACTCAGCTGAGTTTGAGACGTCGTCCTCTCTATTTTCTGTCCCTTCTACGTTTTGATGCTTTTCCTCTACCCCAGTCTCAGGTTAAATCAACATGGTTAATATTCACCAGCTCGCCTGCACCCTTGCGATTTTTTCTAACTCTTCTCAATAAATACAAACTAAGTATTTATGTTTAAAATGAAAGTTGCTACATGCACTGGAATGAATGAATCTTTTCAAAATATAGCTAATTCGAACTTGATTTTCTAAAAAAAAATCCTTCATTTTTATTTTTTTATTTGCAGCAACGTATAATAGTACTTTATTACAACATATAAATATAATATATAGTATTCTGTTTATATGACCGCAATTGTCAGATGTGCGCTGAAAAACGGCAAGCTTGGAGTAATATATATTTTACTCAGCATTACGCACAATATCTCACATATTTCAGCTGAAATTTTAATTGAAGTATTATTATCAAGTAATTAACTATATCACCCCAATGTTGACCAGGATATGCACCTATGCCAGGAAGCAGTCAGACTGACTGACCAGACTCCAGATTTGATTGCGGTCATAGTAACAAATTGCTATACTGCCTGTATATATTTTCTGATAAATCATAATCACGCCTTGCCACTAATGAAACACAAAGCAAATCTTTTTTTTTATTCAATTATAAATTTTTTGGATGTTCGAAACATTCGTCCAACCTATAACGTTTTTTGTTTTGCTTTCTTTGTTTTTTTTTAGAAATATATTTTTAATATGTGTTGAGCTAAAAGAGCCGCGTTTGAGATTTCTGGTGATGTCAATATCATTAAAATATCTTAAGTCGGACACATTTAAAATCTTGCAAAAATTTTCCAAAGCTCATCAAAGGAAATTTGTTTGAATTATTCCAAAACATAAAAAAAAAATATATTTATAATTTTTAAGCATAATAAATCGATTTGTAGAGTATCGCGGACCAATCCTAGTTTTCTTTTCATGTTAAAAAAGAGCAAAGTGTCAAACATCCGATCACGGACAGGTGAAAGAAACGTCAATTTTCGCCTCAGCTGCTTCAAAGCTCAATCAACTTGAAAACAAGAAACTCCGTCAAGCTGGCCGTTTGCGCTCTCTTTGAGCGCTCCCAAAACATACGTGTGTATATATATATATATATATATATATATATATATATTTGTCAAAGTTAAACATTTCTTCTTAAAACCGCGCCTGAATTGAGATATAAACACCCAAATACCTTAGGCCTGAAATAGAGGGAAACCTTTCAGGGTAATGACGTCATCTTTTCCTCCTTCATTGCAAAGTGCCTAGCTGTTATTAACTCTGTGCGATTCTCTCTGATGTAAAATGCGAAACTTAAACGTTTCCCAAAGTAAGGCTGCATAGGAGCACATCACAATGACCAAGATTTAAAGGGCTCTTTTGCGTTCAGGCGCTCAACAGCAGAACAGTACTTTACACTGTTCGAATATTTATTATCAGGAATACACTTAACCAAAAAAAGTCATACCTACAAGTGGGCTTTACCAGGTGTGAGACACTAACAACAAACATTTTATATTTTTCCAGCTCATAGCCTCAAGACAACTATATATTTGCTGACGCCTCAATTTGCAATAGGGGGCCTACTTAAAGACAGAATATATAAGACAACGCATAACGCCCCACACCTTCCTGCCAACGATGTCTGCAGCAGTGTCTGCAAGACTGTAGAATGTAAGTCCCCTCCGGATCCATCTAACTTTGAAAACGCCTGTGCACCACATTACGAAAGGGGAAAGTAGCTGCTGGTGTGGCGCTGTTTTGCATAGGTCGAGAATCCCGGAAGCGGGGCTTGCCTCTTCCCGCTGCACCCGCCCTAAGTGTCGCTCTCGCCTTTCCTTTGCCTTTGCAGATCCGCCAACGTAGCAATGAGAACTTGGGTGCTGTGCCTGGTGGTGGGCCTCGTCTGCCTCATCGCCGTCTCGATCGCGACACTCATCCTCCAGCTTCCGCCGGACCTCTTCAACAGCACGAACGCAGATCCCGATGATGGTCCTCGGCTACAGTCCGACCAGGGCAAGCGGCAAGAGTTAAGCTTCGTGGGACTCAATGGTGACACCGTCGGAGCCATTGAGGAAGAAGGTGGCAACGTGGCCGTGCAGTCTTTACTGGATCCGCAGACGACACGCTTAAGTTCCGGCTCTTTGCCGGAGCGCGATTCGCCGGACAGCAAGGACTCGGGTCGGGACCGCTTCGGCAACCACAACAATCTAGAAACCAACTTGCAGGAACCGGCTGTCGTCGACATCATCTTACAGACCGGAGACGAACTCCTTCCACCGCCGCCGCCGAGCCTTCCAACGACGACGGAGGACGGCCGACCGTTAGTGTTTACGACAACGGGTAAAGTAGCGGGCTTCAAACGGGAAATCCTGGGAAAGAAATTGAACGTGTTTCTGGGGGTCCCCTATGCGACGCCTCCTGTAGGCGATCTCCGGTTTAGGAAGCCTCAGCCAATCCAGCCCTGGAGTGACGTCTACGACGCCTCGGATATGGGGCCTCCTTGTTTCCACATCACGTACTCGTCCTCTTGGAGTTGGGCTGCGAGCCGAAAAACTGAGAGCGAGGACTGCCTTCATCTAAATGTGTGGGCTCCTGAAGGCGCCTGCGACAACAGGACTAAGGCATCCACATTGAAGCCCGTCATCGTGTTCATTTACGGTGGAGGTTTTAACATTGGCGCTACCGACTGGGAGTTCTATGATGGGAGCGTGCTTGCAGCGTACGGGGACGTCGTCATGGCTTCCATGAACTATAGGCTAGGACCACTTGGCTTCCTGAACGCAGACAGCGAGGACATCCCCGGGAACATGGGACTCCTCGACCAGCACTTGGCGATTCGATGGCTCTACGAAAACGCGCCGTTGTTCTGCGGTAATCCGGCCCACATGGTTCTTGTGGGTGAAAGTGCGGGCGCCGTCTCGGCGGGATTGCATCTGGTTTCCCCGATGAGCCGACACATGGTAAAGAGAGTAGTTTTGCAGAGCGGCAGTCCCTTATGGGATACACCCGACAACACCGTCGGTGCCATAAAGAAGGCGACGGAGTTCGCGGAAATCTTCAAATGTTCCAACACGACACAAAACTTCCAAAACAGTTCGGATTTGGTAGTCCGTTGCTTACGCGAGCTAGACGCGCGGACGCTTTTCGAGAAAGCCGAGGAAACGCTCGGAAAGCGCGTGCTCACTTACCATCCTCGGTACGGAGATGAGTTCATGCCGCTCAATGCTCACGAAGCGCTCAAGAAGGGACTCTTCAAGGACTCGGATGTCTTGCTTGGAGTGAACAAAGATGAAGGCAGCATCTTCGTGGCCAACTCTTTACCTTACATTTTTCTAAACGGCCTAGCTCCGAACATTACAAAGGACGAGGCTGCATTTTACCTCATATTTTTCTTCCAGTACATTATACAAACCGGTACGCGTGACATACGGGACCATTACTTCAAGACCATCAAAGACAAGGACTACCCGGCAGTGAGGAACGCGTTCATCGAAGCCATCGGAGACTACCTCCAAATTTGTCCCACCACTTACTACGGAGAAACGTACTCCAGGTTCAACAACAGTGTCTACTATTACCACTTCACTCATCGGCCCAGCAACAGCTACTGGCCGGAGTGGCTGGGAACGGCACATTTCGACGAGGTGGAATTCATCTTTGGTGTTCCACTTAGGTTTCCAGAAAAATTTACAGCGGAAGAAGTAAACTTCTCCAAACAAATGATGGATATCTGGCTAACCTTCGCTAAAACGGGGTGAGTAAGCCGTTCTTATTTTTCAAACTCTTTAGCATAATAACAGTCTTAGGATTTTCACGAAAACTACCAAGTCGATTTTATAGCATCCATCTTAAAATTTTCTGCAACAAACTTTAACAAATTGACTCATGTTCATTTAATACCACAGCTAAGATAAACTTTCAATTTGAATCCTCTTGGCTAGAACACAAGACCTCTATACAGGGCATTGAGAAGGCCACTAGTCTCGTCTCACAATTTATCCACAGTTCACAGAGCCCGTTCAAATTAAAAAAAAAAAATTTGTTCGTAAGAAATTTTTTTTAAAGCTTGTTGTAATCAGCCAGATTGCGGCAATCAGTTATTCGTTTTGATGAGTACTAATTTTAGACTGGAAATGGGAGTGCGACATGGAAACTGATAAATTGCGCTTTTGTTGTATCCCGCGTTTTGAGCGAAGACTCGATTTTTTAGGCTTTCACCTTTATACATTGGTTGCTTTTTATGCTTATCACAAGCCCGTAAACTTACAACGTAAAAAAGGTTCCGTTTCATCAGCTACGTTAATCATGGAAGTAAAAAAAAAAGAAGAAGAAAAAAAAGGAGGAGAGTGGATTTTGCGAGCTCGGCAGAGATTTTCCACTGCTTGATCATGACATAAAAGTGAACCTATTCCAGAGGCTGAAGATGATCCTGCCGCTTTCCCGATCGCCTTCTTCCCAGTCCCTGTAGTATCTGGGCTAACATGAAAAAATGGGAAAAATGTTTTTCATTCCAGGAAACGCATTGAATTTCAAATGCAAATCTAAGTTCGGCGAGCACGACACGTGTTATCGCATGCGTGCAACTTCGGTTTTCCTCGCTCCTTCATTTCACGTAAACGTTTGCATCGCGCATGTAATCGATAGAGTCACTGTGAGCAAGCTATTGTCTTAGTGATTTTCCCATAAGCCCTGCAAGTTTCGAGCTGAAACAGCTCTGTTGTGTTGCAAAATATAAATGAACAATAATTCTCAAAATTACAAACATATTGTGAACACTATATATGCCTCTTCGAGTAAGCCGATTGATGAAAACTAAGATATCATCACGATTGGTTGTCTGAGTTCACTCTTTACGGGAACACATCGGTCTACGCTGAGCAAAACATCCGGCATGCATCCGTACATAGTAAATACAGGTCAACAAAAATTAATTTTTATAACGAAATTAGAATGTGTCCACTTTGTTATGTAAGATTTTTGTAAATGAGCAAAGGTTTAAGTTACATGTAACTGACTTCCTAACTGTTAATTGATCCATAATCAAATGTTAATTTTCTATGTTGTGAACCTTTGTTGTGAACCTTTGTTGTGAACCAAGCACAAATTGTTAATATCTCTTATTCTAATTTAATTCCTCTACCAAGGAGGTGTTCCCAGCAGGAGCCTCAGCTGCGCGAAATTTCATTCACAGACGGTCCAGTACAATATAATAAAATACTCAATGTGGTCGAGATAAGTGAACTGGGACTTTACATTCCAAAAGAAAGGAAGAAAAACAAACAGACATTATTGTTGGTGCATGAATATTTACAGTAGAAGAGCAGCGTAATTTGTGCGTCCTGAGCGCCATAGCTCAATTGTTTAAGATAAGGCCTCCGTTTACGCGACGATGAGCACTCCAGAGAAAATATAGTAAGGGTGCGGGCGAGCTGGTGAATGTTAACCATGATGAATAAACCTGAGGCTGGGGCAGAAATGAACATACAAGTCGAAGTAGCAGAAAAGGACAGGACGACGACGTCCTGTCCTTTTCTGTTCCTTCAAATTGTATGTTCATTTCAGATCCATTCTCAGGTTTATTCAACATGGTTAGCATTCCACTTTTTTAAGAGTAACTCCCGTCAAAAGTTGAACAAAAATAAATGACTGATATCTATTTATGGAGGCTAAATACGAGCACTGCCAAAACACTAGGCTAATTGGAAAGCGCGATCCACTCTAAAACTGATATTTAAAATGCTACCACCAGCTTCTCAGCGAGCATTCAGCGGGGTGGCTGTTTTGCAAGCAACCTCGTGCCCCGTGGTTATGCTCGTACTAAAAAAGGTTTTCTGTTGCGTTTTCAGCCGCCACAGCGGATGATTTATGCTTGTTATGTTATGTTTTAGTGGCCGTAGTTTGTGAGTGCATCACGCGATCGCGCACAAAAGAGAGTTTTAAGCCTTGTTCAGACAGTTTCGTTTGACTGCGTTTGACTGCGAGAAACCAGGACATCCCTGCTGCTTATATCGTGTGCCAAAATGATTCCTTGAATTGGATTCCATACTTCATACGAAGCACAGATGTGCCGGTGACTCGCTTTCAGTTCTCGACGCAACGCAGTCAAACGCACTCAAATGCAAGTGTCTGAACCGGCTTTTCGTAGATCATACGCTGCGGAGAGCAGTCGCAGCAGGCGCGTGCTCGATCCATGCTTCAAAGTGACGGCACGAGCTCCCGCCAGCAAAGCGTAGCTAGCTCTAGAATACCATTGACTCCCTGCTCGCTCAAGCGCGTCATGGTGCCAAGGTGGCACCCACGGGCGGCCATAGTTAGTTTGTTGATACTCAGCGCGAGCTTACAAATAGTTTTCCCAACCTGCATTGCACACCACCAGTATAGTACTTCTATTCAGAACCTAAGTGGAGCACGCTGTGAGCTTGTGCTGAGCTTGCGTCACCGTGGCCTGCGTTTATTGTGGCGAACTCGCTTTTCGGCCCGCAACTTTATGAATCTGTATTTATATTTGTTACAGGTGTTTGATATTTACAAAGTAAAGCAGTAAAATAGCCGTAGCACCTTACCTGACAGGTCGAAACTGCTCTTGCGACGAGGTCAATCGTAGTACGCTTTGCGGTACCGCGGTACGAACTGCGTCACGCGATGGCCATGCAGCTGATCATAAGGGTTGCCATCATGCTCGAGCCGGTAGTTTCGGTTTCGCCATAGGCCCCCGAAAGAAAACTTTAATATGAGGTATCTACAAAGCTACACAAGGCAGGGACGCTTACACCACTAAAAAAAGTCATAACGCTAAAATCGAGAAAACGTACCGGAATGGCCCATTCCAATACGATAGTATTGCTTTCGGTATTTTAACCTTGAATCTCTATTGCGCATTACGCCTTAGTCATTAGACGAATGTACACCAAACGTCGGTGCATAGCGAAACCGGCAGAAGTAGGAATTGGAAACATGGCGTCAGAGTCTGCATCCAGCGCTTTCGATCCCAAAACCTGTCACTCTTTTGGGGAACATAAAACAGGAAGATCACGTAGGATACAATGTCGCAGGAAAAACTATTCCAGCTCATTACCTACACCTTATACGTCTGGTAAACTGCCTCAACACAGCCGCATGAGCAAGGAACAAAATGACTATAAAGCGTGCAACATTTCAAAGTTAGCGGAGGACACGTATGTACTCAATTGCTTAGCGAGGATGCTGACAAGTGGTCGGAGAACTTGGGTCCTTGCCCTGGTAGCAGTGACATCGGTCTTGGTCTGGTCAAAGTTACACCGGCGTTCTTCTTTTTTTAATGTTTTGTTTCCCTTTACTGACAATGCAGCTTCGATTTGTCGGGTCTTCCCACAAGAAAACGAACTATATTGTGCTGCAAGTTGAGAAAGTTAGGACAGGAATGCTGGAGGGGAGGCGATGCCCCTCGCCTGGTCTCCGACGTTCGCTCTGCTGAATGGGGAAAGAGTGGAGGGCTTCGGCAGGAGGAGCCTGTCCTGCTTTTCTTAACCAGCAACGGGCACGTGCAGTAGTAGTCAATGAAGTTTGTGTCGCCAACCTTTTGACTAATACTGATAGCAAATTTTAAGGTAACTTAGGATCAGTCGCATTTCTTTAGCTATTAAGATTTGCAGGTGGTTAGCAAGTTTGCATTTTCTGTAGCGTTCGTAAATGTTTGGTGTGATCGAAGCTGAATGCAACAGGCACCAAACTCTTTTGCTGATGGCCATGACAATAGCGATTGAATTATCCATACAAAATAAGGGGCTAGGAAACATAGTGCATTACTTACGATTCACGGTATAGAAACGAAGCGCTATCCCACGAAATTTAACTACGAACTACGACCGCGTGCTTGAAACTTCGAACCGCGTCTTCCGGGAAGTATACGCCGGCATCTCCCACGCATGGATATCTACTTAGCGCGTATTCGCCACCACCTCAAACAGCGGGGGCAGCACTTTCCTCTTCCGTGGTTGCGGCGAGCCATACGTCGGATTTGGCAAATTTGCATTTCGCACCTCGATGCCGAAATTTTGGCACGACATAGAGATATCTCCGGTGTACACTAAAAATAAATTCACGAAAGCGACCTAGCGCGAGGAAGTGCTGAAATGACCCGGTTTGAAAGCTTCTCGTGTTTTCCCATATCAGTGACGGATGTCCACTTCGTCTTTCGCACCCTTCTCTCTGTCGCTCTTTTTTTTTTCTTTCTACGTTGGGAATGTTGCACTGCTTTGGGGGAGGCCAGTCTAAAAGACAGCACACACAAAGAAAAAATAAAGCTGTCCAAGAAAACAAATTTACGAAAGCAAGAATGAAGAAAAAAAATCGGACAACACACGAGAATGAAGGCGGAAGGGCGACCGTTATATAATACTTGCGCTATGCAGAAGAAAGCAAAGTGGGAACTGGTTTGGGCATTGGGGGGGGGGGGGGGGGGAACGAAGCGGCGAATAAAGAAGGAGACACACGCTGCACTTCGTTTCACCTTACGATGGACCGCAGCGGACGCTGCGAGCCATCTCAGCCAATCTAAGGCTGCAAACATATCACGTGACCTCGCGCCTCGCTGGACCCCGAGGGAAGGCCATGTCCCACTCACTCTGCGTTTGAGTGGCTAGGATCGCTCGTAGCGTCCGCTGCGGTTCATAGTAAGATGTGAGCAGGCGGCGGACCAGGAAACCCGAATCAGCCTTGCTTCCGGTCGTTGGCGAAAGTACCGCGGGGCATGCGCGTCTTTGCTGCGAGTGTTGCGTGGACAGTCAATGAAGCGAGGCATGGAAGGGCGTTAAAATATGAGGACGAACAAGGCGTGTTGTTTCTTCGATCAAGTCGAGATCGGAACTAAGGGATCGCAGCATTCGAGGTGCTCGACTTTCTTGCACGCCCATCCTGTAGCATGGAGGACGTCAAGTTGAGGAAGTGAAACTATTGGTCCTGTCTGCTCCAGATGCTGCGTATATATTACGTCGTTTGTCTGCGATTCAGGCAAGGTTATGAGATCAAGGGACCGTTTCACGTGGATGGCAGTAAAAAAACACAAGGCGTCACCTGCCTGAAGCAAAGGTGGCGTTATGATTGTCATTAAAGTGAAAATGTTGTCAGGTTAAGCTTGGAGTCTGGTGGCCAGTCGTCATATCCACGCCAACAAAACATGCCATAAGTTGTCTGAATGTTGGGCGCACGCGTCTTCGTAGGTTCGACAACATTGCCAGGAAGCCTTTTTTTTAATATATATAAAGTCGATTCTTTAGAGAAAGGGCCAAATTCCTTGGTATGCGGTTTACACAGCTGAAGTTAACACGCGGCTTATTAATGCATGAGAGCTCTCTCTAGCCATACGTACAACAAAGTAGTAGTTAATTCCCGATGCGTACTACCAACAATATGTCCTTGGTTGCCATGTCGTGATTCATAATCAGGCAAGATATTCGAGGACGATATCAAGACAAGGCATTCGAGGTATCACTCCCGAACACCTTGTCACGATTTATGTTCAATTCTAAATCAATTCCCTATTTCTTGCCCTGTCTTGCACTGCGGCCAAAACGCTGCACACAGTTACACTGCCGTGTTTACATGTAGCGGGACTGATGGCCCGCTAAATTTAGCCAACGGTGTTCACGTGACATTGCGACGTCGCGTGAGGCCGTGTCATCGCGACAACACGCGGCACCATGACGTCACGTGACACGATATTCCCTCTAAATTTAGCGGAAAATTTTCTCGGTTAACTTTAACGAACAATGACGCACACAAAACACACGCGGGCTCCGCTGCGAAGCGTAAACTATTGCCGAGTTTCAGAATAGCGTACGTGAGTAAATAGCGTCATCGCCACTGTGCACGCAAGGAGCCCAAACGGCGTCTTGAATCGGCGCGTAGCGACGACGTGCATACGCAGTGTTCAGCACGCCAACGCACGGCGCTTGCGTTTGCTCCTATACGCCGTTAAAACGCTCTATTATAGCCTTTGTGAATGTCTCGGTACGCCGCGAACAAAGTCGAAGGTGGTCGGCGACGTGCCCGCGGGTACTGAACACCGCACGTCGGGACGCGGTCTCTGGTTGCCCAGGAAGCCTCCGTCCTTAAACGGGACGCAGTGGCCGCTCTTCTCCGAGCTGAACCCGGTCCACATGGAGCTGAACCCGAAGCGTTTCCGGTTGGGCAAGGGGCTGCACGCCGAGCACTGCCGCTTCTGGAAAAAGTACATCCTCAAGTGAACACCTTGGAGCATCCTGGGCGGCCTGGTCGAAAGGTTGGTTGGGTCATGGGACACCCGGATCCTCACGGAACTGGACGAGACGGGTCAAACACGTTTACCACAAAGAGTCATACTCAATGCATAATGAGAGTACTGGAACTGACAGGTTGAGAACTGCGGGGAGGTCTTTGACCCGCCCCGCCTCCAGCGCGAGATTCCTTGGATATAACGCTTGAGCGTCGCGAGAGCTTCGGGCGCGCAGCCGAATTACGGCGGAGAGAAGCGAGCGCGTGTTGGAGAATGCCGTTCTCATTCTTACAGGAACTCCATACCAGTAGACGTTAAATTATCCGAGCAGCGAAGAGTACGCTGATAAACGAGACAAAGGCCCCTGCCTTTGTCTGCACCGTAGACATTGGTGGGTTCGAGTGTAGTTACACGCACTTCACGTGCTTGTGTCTGCCAACGTTACTATACTTTGTCTCATCCTTCGAGGGACTAAACGCCAAAGCCACGGGCCGCCAAGTCCAATCCCGTTCCGCGCTAAACTAGAGAGTTTTAGTAGATCGTTCCGATACCTCCGATAGCCCCGATACCGATATCGGAGTCATGGGAACGATCTACTAAAACTCTCTACCATGACACGCTTAGGGGTGGACGAATAATGCTCGAATCCAAAAGCGCTGCATCATTTCTATAGCTTCGACGCTGCAAGGAGCCTATATGTAGTGGCTTTCTTTGCGATGTAAAATTGTTGAGTCACCCATTTCTCTGATTCGAACCACTGTCCACCCGGCCCCTTATCAGTAATCCGAGACGCGGGCACCGATACGTGCATCGAAGCGAAATACCGCACAATTTCTGAGTGGCTCGTGACTGGATCTGGCGGTCCGCAGCTTTTGCCTTTAGTCCATCGTAGGGTGAGACGAAGTATAGACTTGAAAAAATACAAAAACAAATGAGCGTGACATTTTTACGCGAATTCGTTAGTACCTATTTTTATCCTCAAATCTTGCATGCTAAGGACATTCTATATATGATGTAGCGCAACGAGGTTTCCTTCTCTTCCTCTGGACATATCCTCCTGTCCCAGCAGCTCCGCCATTACTGAGCAGACTACATTAATTTTCACCTTAAAAAACGTAAACAAAACTCATGCTTTTCACGGAGTATTATTACTTTTCCCCGTTATGAATATAATTAAGGTATATGTGAGTGCATTCTAGACTAGATATATGTTATCTTATCAAGACGTACACGCTTCAAACGCCAAAAGCATCGCTCCTACCAAATCCCGTAAGAACTACTTCACGCATCGTATAAACAATGCGCAAAACTTCCTTGTCTTTTTTCTTGAAGTGGAAACGAGTATAGAGCGGCCGCGACGGCTACCCCGGTGCCTCGACCCGTACTACCCGCAACGATGGACGAGAGCGTGCGTCGGATTGAAGACATGTGCTATTGGATTCTACGGCAGCGACAGTTATGCGTTCCGCCGAGTAAAGTATACGGTTGGCGTACAGTTATTTAAGCTCACGAGTGAGCGAGAGTTCCTCGGACGAGTAATGTAATTGCAAGCAGAGCTGGCGTCGCTTGTACTTGAGAACAGATAGTCGTGTGAGTCGTGTCCCGCAATTAAAAAGAAATACTGAAGGTCAATGTAGTACCAATCTTTTTTTTGGCCTTTGACACGCCGATATTTCGTTTACTCGTTCGTTGTACAAAGTTCCAAGAACGGGCCATTGAGAGAAAACTGTACCCTGTGCATATGAAAATCTTGACCGAAAATAATGTATTCGTAGAACTGGCATCACCTGAGGTAGTTAATAATTAATATAAAAAGGCTGCGCGATGTATTTACACGCAAAAAATTTAGAAGATGTTAATCACTGCTAATTTGTTTTTTTGTTGTCATAGATTGTAAAGGCTTAATTTACCCGTGACAAATGTGCGAAAACATACAACACTACTGTGCAACCATGCCTGAGCGCGCCAAACACTTACGGCCTTACGCTGTTGGTCACTGACGTGGTGAATACCGCAATGAAGTCGTCATAAGTCAAGAGCGACGTTTTATTTAATAATGCAAATCAGTCAACAACGAACGCATTTTTTTTTATAATTACACGAGACAAAGAATAGGTAATACAAAGACCTTGTAATAAAGCAATAATTGAACATTGGTCACGCAATATTGCGGTGTTTCTGCTTCCAGACGTCTTTCAAGCTATTCGCTCTCATCCTACTTCGCCGCTAAGTTTCTTCAGAAAAAAAGCAATATATATATATATAGATATAGAGAGAGAGCTCCCAAAAACAACACGATTGTTTTGTTTAACGGCAGCTGGAAATGAACGGACAGTAAATAACACAGCACCAAGCTTGCGTTGCAAAAATAAAAACAATACTGACCCACACTGGCAGCTACAGACTCACTGTACGAAGCGGGGCAGAGAGCCTCGCCCTTGCTGAGTCAAGGCGACGGATCTGAGCAGCAAAACCCCGCCCGCGGGCTTATGGGAAGGGTTGTGGTTACGTGTCAAACGCGATCCAATTGTAGAGCGGAGGGAGAGGCTGTGAGAGAGAAAGAGAGAGGGGGGGGGGGGGGGAGGGACGACGAGGAAAATCCTTCTTCCCTGCCCAGACAATAGATGGCGCTACCTTCAGTATACACGATACTGAATTTATCCAGGTAAGCCGAGTGAGTGCATGACGTAGAACAGCATTCTCTTCGGTGCTTGAGTAATTGGAAGAAAAGAAGTTGAATTATCGCTTTCAGTTAACATTACGAGTTTACTAAAGGGAAGTATTTTGTAAGGCCCCTTGATGGCGGCTTCTTCTCTGACTACAGGTAAAGTGGAACGACGTTACTTTGTCAGCGATGGCCTTCCTTCGTGATCAGCTAACTGTATGGTCATTGGCTAGAGGCTTCTGGTCTTCCATATCGTCGTTTACTCGAGTAAATAATGCACTACAAATAGTAAAAGGTGAAAATGGTTCAGTACCTTTTATTTTATTGGTTTCTCAGACACTCTTTAAGAACTAGTGCGAGTGCCCATACGGGTCACGCGTAAGAGTTTTTATTATTGTTCGAGTAAACAAGGTGTTCCCATGAATATACAGTCATCAATGAGTCGTTTCGAAAACCGCCAGTGACGGTAAAACTCGGATTACATAAGGAAATATTTTGTGCGTAGCGAGCAGGCAAAAAGCCAAGCCATGTGCACAATAATGTATGGCTGGCGAATACCGGTGGGCGTGATGAAATTTCATGCCACGTGACAAGCACTACGCGGTGAGAAAGAAATGCCCTGACATATTGCTGCCGATACGTATCTTTGCTCGACTCTATATATAAGTGAAATCAACCGCGTCCGTGTACTTTGGCAGCTGCATGCAAAGTTACGGTTGGTGAAACACGCACTAGGCAAACATTAAAAGAAAAAGGACGGGCAACACCCGAGAGTTACGTCTGCAAAAGTAATTTATAAAGACGTATCAAGGACGCTGAATGTTTCTGCTCTTGAGTTTGAGCGGTGAAACACTGGTTTCCCTTTGCTCAATTCGAAAAAGTTATAGGTTCGAATCCGCTTCACGATAGATTTCTCTATGACTTTAGGATTTATTTGGCGTTTATAGGTTAGTTCCATGGTACATTCGCAATATTTAAGAAGCGACACGTTCGGACAAAAGTTTTATATGACTCCCTTGTTCCTGTAATGTTTCCCCCTAATGACGGTGCTTCGCAATTCCAAGAAAATGTATCGTTAGCTGTCGCTGCCCCTGCGCCGATAAAATGCTAATTATGTGACAGGATAACATTTCGGATACTTGATGCCACAACAGAGGTTGTTTTGCTCGTTTCACCACACGTGACCGCACTGTGTGCTGATCCCCTTCAAGACACTTCGCACACACTCCTCTCGAGCGTTTTCTGACTGATGGCAAATCCGCCCTGGCGATCTTCCTACTGAACCGTAGACGGATGACTTGCGACTAAGTGGCAGACAGATAACCAGTCCCACCTACTAGTCAAGACCTGCGCATCACGTCATAGTGGGTGTGTCCCCGACCCGCCTCAAGCGGCAAACGCTCTGAAGCTCGACAACAGCATACCCACAAAACGGCAGACGCGTGCGTCAGCCGCTTTGGTGCGAGACGCTGCTTTTTAGGACGGTCATGACGCAGAATTAAAATGCGAAGTAAAAATACTCGTTTTGGTACGCCAGGTGCACCGCAAAACTTGAGAGCTATTTGCCTTTCATGGTGAAATGATGTTAACAATAGACAAACTTGATGCGAGCCGAACGCCCGATTGCCTCCAGCCAAATGGCTCGCAAAAGCGATAGCAAACGACAAAAAGTTTGTTGGAAATGGGAAGCGCTGTCCTTAGGTTGATATTACAAGCATATATTTGGAGTCACGTAAGGTGTGTCTCGACGCGGTACAGTGTTAAAATAATGGGAATGTATCATACGATTTATAAAGAGACGGGAGGTAATAAAAATATTTGAACAGACACTGCAATGAAAAAAAAAACACGTTTTTGTTTAAGCTTATTTTGGACAGGCACTTTCTGTTCTACAGCGAAGCTGTATATGACTCGTTGGTCGGGAAATTTGTGTCCGTCGACAGAACAGTAGTCGACAGAAAACCATCGCGCGCTCCTTATCACCGGTGGCCCGCGCCTTATCTCCTATCATGTGGTTTTGACACTTGTTTCAATAAGAAAACTACAAAGCAAGTGTCAAATTCAAGTGATAGATGATAAGCACGTAGCGCTCCCCGCATGCGTTTCTCGGTGAAGATTGCGGTTGCATAAGCTGTCACGGCAATGGAAACGTACGAAGTGTTTCACATATAAAAAACGTGTTGGTACAGTGCGTTTACTTTTCTTTCGTAAACCATTTGGTCAGACCCTTTTCAGTTTACAAACATGAACACGACTTCCGGTCGCACCGTCTTTGCAAGCCTTTTGGGCTTGTTTATGTCACCAGTGCTAGAAAGCATAAATGCTGTATAGACAACAAAGTTGGAGATTTAAAGTACAATATAGCATCTTGGAGGGTGCAAGTTGGTATACAAAAGTACTCGAAACATTTTAACAGATCTCGCATTCCCTTGTTCTTTTGGCGTTCACCTGGAGAATTGGTTTTTAAACGTTTCATCTACATGTCAAGGAGAGGTGTTAAGGTTGCCTTTGTTCATTTTCTTTATAAACCGGAAGTTCTCTGGGACGTCAAAGACTGGAGCACCACCTGGTGGCGTTTGCCATAAAAAGGGTCTTCTATAGGGTGTTTTCAGATAAGTTCGGCCGACCACATCCTGTGACCTTTTTAATTCTCACGAAAAAAAATATCTTCTAGACTCAATGCCCATCGGAACAGAATCAAAAATTGTTTTGCGAAAAAAATGATTGTCTTTGAGGAAAACAAGTAGAAGCACACACTCAGTGCGAAGCGCTTTTCGCGAATTGCGCAAAGTTGGCATTTCGGGCGCCTCTCGTAAAAAAATTGTCATAGCTACAGGTGTAGAGATATTTACTCACAAACTGCGTATAATCGTCGATACTTATTGACCGCAATAACACTTACATTTTTTTTTTCTCCTTTGCCAGCGTGTTGTCCTGTCTTGTTAACACTGACGCTAAATATTGTTGTCCTGGGTAGCGGAAGCAATTTATAAGAGATACTCAAATGGGGACATTTTAATAATTATCAGTTATTTTGAAACTCAATTAAAAAAAAGGCCATCTCCGATCTTTTTTCTTAAACTCTTCAACATGAAGGCCAATGATAGACACTAACAAAATTTGCAAAAACCTGTTCCATTATTTTTTGTTGATTTGAAGTTATAAAGCTAGAAATATGACCAAATTAAGGCTACCGCTGTACCGTGAATGGGGCATGTAGTAGACTAGATACCCATAGATGACAAATTCATTATTTTTACAATGTGTGAAAATGCTCGAGGCTGGTAAGAAAAAAAAAGCAAATTGAAGGCACATAGGCAGACTGTGATTTTAAAGTAAAAATTCTTAGTGCGTTTCTGTATAAGAGTCGCAAAAAATGCACGCGGTCCGGAGCAATCGAATGGCACTCTCATGTCGCATGCTTCGCAGGGCCTGTTTTCAATAGCCGGCGTGCAGGATCTCTCTGCACGCCACGTATAGACCGACACGCGGGCTTGACGTCACGGAGCTGCGGCGGCGCTACGATCGCGCCGGAGCCGGGTGGTGTGGGCAGATGCTGAATGCGTAGACAGCCATTGTCGGGTTGCTGGAGCAACCCGACGATGGCGGTTTACGCATTCAGCATCTTTGATACATCTATATAAATTATATTAGCAGGAGTAATCCTCCATTATTGTCGACCTTTTCTTCTCTTTTAAATAGGACGACCTTCGCCTATCTTATTTTTGCATGCAGCCCCTAAAGTACACGGACGCGGTTTATTTAACTTTTATTTTAAGCCTCTTCATCCTTTTTCTCCGAACTGAGTCGCATTTCTGAGATCGAGACGACGACCGATATCGCCAAACATTTGTCAGTCGGTCTAGGTATTTCTACCCCCCACGTAGAGCTCTGCTTGAGGCGAATTAGCGGCGTTTCGAAGGCACGCTTTTGGGAAAGGCTGTTTGTTGTTCGCTCCCGTCTCTCGTGTTGTAAAGATGGGTCCCAGTCGGCGAGCTTCTTCGCGGTCTGTTTGCGCAACTGCAGCGCCACGTGTAACCCTTTCTCCGGCTCGAAAATTGTTTGACTGTGCCAATATGTTTTTGCGGTCAGTGTACATTGAGAAACGTATATTAATCACGACGTCTAAAATACTGATATAAATACCGAAATTTCAACATATGGACAGTTTCTTTTAACCACCAATGCCTTATTGAACTCATGAGCTTGTAAAAATGCACCGAGTACTTCGTGGCCGTCGGCAGTTCCAGTTTTCGGGAAGTTGAAGTCAGACTACCGATCTAGTCTAATGCAATATGATTGTTCAGGTTCTCCATATAAGCTAAAAGCAGTACGGTGGAGCGATCCTATGCTAGAGAGTGTCCTGGCAAGAGGCGAAAGGATTCACATTTTTGGGGACCGTTCCGATGCCTCAGAGGTCTGGGAGAGTAAAACAGGTAAACATCTTGGGAAAGAACAGCGGCAAAAAACTTCGACAGTGGTAGAAAAACACACACGACAGGACGGCGCTGATCAGCGCCGTCCTGTCGTGTGCGTTTTTCTTTCCTTGTTCAAGTTTTTTTGCCGCGGTTCCTTCCCAAAATGCTCACTTCAATCCAACTAGCCCAAATCGTCTCATTGTTGCAAAACAGGTAAACTTGATTATTTGGGTCAACTTTTAAACAAGCTGGGCTTAAACGATTTTAGTCTTGTAAAGAAAACAAATTTACTGCCCGCTAAAACTACACAACCTAAAGACCATTCCACCAATCGCTTTGTCGATTGGACAGCGGAATGCGATCTGAGCATACGCAATATCATAGCCTCCTCTATACTGACAAAGCCGGGCAGATCGCCATGAGACGCGGCCGTCAAAAGTGAAAAGGTAGAGCGGCAGACAACGGATGAGAAGAGAGTCATGTAACGGGCGCCCCGCTGCGGCGAGACGCCCAAACACTCTTCTCCCGGGCGATGGATCTGGTAGCGCTCACAACCAGCTTCCCCGAGAAGTGCCCTGTGCTACCAGATCCTCGCCCTCCAAATCTGCGACCGGGCACTCTATGGCTCCGTTGTCGAACTACCAGGCTTTGTCAGTATAGACGCTTTAAACATGCGCCAAATTGTGCCGCCATTGTCGATCTTCTTTCGTCTTACGGAGATGCCCAGCCACTGAAGCGGGCGTTGACGACCTCCACAAGGGCCTATGCTAGGGAGAAGGACAAAATAGCACCTAAAGTGACAATAATCTGTCCTGCTGTGCAATGATGAAGTGAAGTGAGCGGAATAAGAGGACACAAAAACTGAAGGTCAGCTATGGTGACGCCCATGCACAGCTCCCTGAAAGCGTTTATAGAGGAGGCTATGGCAGTACCCCCTTTTTCGCAACATCAGATTCCGCTCGTGCGCCTCTAATCCCAGCGATTCAGAATGTTCTCCCTCGTTGTTAATAAGTTCGAAATAAGCACGCGAAGATTGATTGATTAATTGATTTGGTATTTGCAAAAAAAACAAAAAGCGGTTTGGTGAAATTACAAGAATCAAGAATAAAAACACATAGGGACAAGGACAGCTAGACAGCACAGTTATGAAGGAACTGTGCTGTCTATCCTTGCCCCTAAGCGTTTATATAGTTTCTTTGATTTCTATTTGTACAACGTCGTCTTAAATGATAGAGCGCTAACTAAGAGAGGTATAGTATCGCACGTGTAGGACAAATAGGAGAAAGCGGATACAGACAGCTCAAAGTCGTAATGCAGTCCCGTCCATCGATCTTATCTCGCAGACGCTGCTCCACTCCACCAAGTTCGGTCACCCCATCAGCTACGCGAAAGAACGTCGACTCCCGGAGGTGCCAGAAGGAGCAACGCAGGGTGCTGAAAGACGCCCTTCTCACTGCAACGAGCTTTTGGGCTCCAGAGAACGGCGACTTCATGAAACACAAGGACAGCCGATCCCGTCCAAAGGCGGTGAAGCGTCCCAAGCGTGCACGGAGAGACATGGTTCGCGGTCGTCATCATCATTCATTCAGTGACCGGCAAAAGACAATCGCAGTGCACGTTTGCTCGCCCGCCAGCTGGATGCCATGGCAGGCATGAGAACAATGGTGGCCGGACAACACTGCTAAGTTATAGATGACCTGTAAATAAACGATGACCAATTTCACGCACAGTGCACACACACACGTACACACATGTAAAAACGTGAGCGCGCTCTTGAGTGTTCCCCCGTTTGAGCACGAACATCATTGTTTGTCCCTTGGAGATCTGTCGCGTCACGATCGGGTGACATCGCCAACTGGAATGCTGTTGAAAGATGTGCCAGTCTACGTCAATTTGGTTGCCGTAGCAGGTTCCAAGTAAAATGAAAGCGGGGCGCGCGTGGAAAACCTAACTATACCCAAGCATGGGTCTGCGGCTATGGTAATAGTGCGTAATAGGAACGACGCTAAGTGGTAACTCAACCTGGTGATATGTGATTTCGCCAGATATTACGCGTACTAGCTCAGCTCATGTAGTACGCTACCAAGATTAGTTTCCTACAGATAATTCTCAACACGGCGCCGATATTCTTAATTGAAATAATGATTCCTTTAGTCTTGTCGAAGGTTAGGTAGCTGGCAGGTATCAACACCCTCTGAAAGGACAATTAGGATGCATTTTGAGATATGACGTCAACCAAATAGGTAGCAACTGGAAAAAAAAAATCAACGCTCAGAAATTTTGTTTAGGGAGTCTGCGCAGTGATGCGCTGAGTGGAGCGATCATTGCTTTCTATACAATCAACTTAGCCAGTGAGAAGGGATAGCCGTTCCACGCTTTATGACCCACACATCCCATGTGTGTCTGTAGCCAATAATGCAAATAATGGCCATTGAAAAGTTGTTTCTGTATACTGTGCAGCAATGTTAGTGCGAACATGACATTGACCTTTTTTTTTGTTTTCTTTTGCATTTTACTTCGAAAGAATAAGGCGGGCATCAAAATTTACCGCTTAGGTTAGCGCCTCAAATGACTACTTTCCGCAACGCTAGTAGTTTTGATGACAGCCGTGTGATTCTGAAAAAAAGAGAAATAGAAACGGCGATCCTTTGTTTGCGCTAGCAGCGTCGCGCATTGTACATTGCAGGACAGTATGGGTGCGGGAATTGCTGAGAGTATGGGACACGACACGACACACGTCCAATTGTTTGTTTATGACATAGTCACAGGTCCCTTTTACATTATCGGAAAAGGTAAGTCGTCATTTGTGGATTCAACATTGAGTATGCCGCGTGAATGTATACAATGACCTCGGTGTAGCAATCATTGAAAGGGTGGCAGAAATTGTCAGCGGTGTAAACTTAACGCAGTCTTTAAATATAGAGTGGCGCATGACACGTTTTTTACTTATCGGAAACTTATCAGGAACGTGGGTTAATCAGCACAGTATGCCGGCGAGCTGGTGACGCAAAAGGACAGTCACGCTAAGTGATAAATTTCTTTCAATATGTTGGCTCCTCGAGCATGTGCGAAAAATGTGCAAAAACTTACATTTCTCGTGTGTGTGGCTGTCTTCTCTGCGTATAACAACACGATCGTTCGGCCACCAGTTAAAAGAGAGGATTTTTTATATTAAAATTTGACGATAGATGTCGCGCTACTCCGAAGAGGCAGCGATATTGAAGGATGTTGAGAGGATAGATTCAGAAGATTAAAAAAAAAAACTTAAATGGAGGAATTACGCATCTACATCTTAAAAAAGTTGCCAACTTAACACCTGTGACAATGCATGCGTTCAGATGCACTTCAAGTATGCATTTCTTTGGACATTATAGTCTAGCTGACATCGCTTCCAGCATAAGGTGATAACTGCCCATTTGCACGGGCGATCTTCAGGGGTACGACTTTACGTCCATGCGTACTGTAAGTCAAAAAGGCGTCTATCTCAACCGTCTGTTCACTATCGGTTAAAATAATTGCGCACACGATACTAAAATCAAACAAATGATCTTGAAGCTTTCAAAATGTAATGATGAGAGACAGCTTGTTAAGAGCCAAGAATCACATCAACAAAACGTGTTTTGTTGCGTTCCTATACTACTTGCAGTTATCAGCCATGCGTGCCCCAGATTATGAAACTTGGAAATACTATACGAACGTTTACCACACTGTTTTTTTACCATCGGCTTGTTTTAGTTGACACTTGATACTTATCCCTGCAAACGTGTCTCAGAACCCTGGATAACTAAAGCCTTGTACGCTTACAAGGAAATCCGGGATCTTAGTAATTAATGTCACTATGGTTCTGGCCCAGCATACCAATTCTGTACCTGACATCTCCAAAGCCTAGATGAGCAGTCCCCTCGACACCTATGTTCACACGAAACGTTGGTGTGGGTGTAGTCTCTGCCATGACTTTACGAGTAGACCACCTTTAGAAGTGACTCAGCTACCTGTAAATTGTAGAACACAAGACGTTTACTGTCATAATTTTGAATGAATCTATTGCATGAAAATACTACATTTACTACATATGAAATGTTTCTAATTGTGACAAATGTTGGCGATCAAACTACTCTCGCCCTTGCCGTTGTTTTTCAATGGGAATCATGATATCTGTACTATACTCACTTAAGCGACCTCATTTTTATTTTCGAGGCGACAACAAAATGTATCGACGAGCATTTCTGCTTACAAACTTGCCATCCACGCTTTTTATTGTTTTGAAGGTATGCATATCCCCAAAGATCTCTTTGTGTACATCTTGTGACGAAACTATTTTGTGAATATGTTTTCTCGATTCAATATGTGTAATTATAGCCAAAATAAAAACTCTCATATCCTTGTAACACTTTGTAGCTGCATGATTTACTGTATAAAAGTGGTATTTAAGTTACAAATGAATGTGAAGCACCTTATATTATTTCCTCATGATTACTGTAGCGATGATATGCGCAATAAAACGTATGCATTGCACATCGTGCCATGTTAAAAGGCTGGGAAATATATATTCATAAAGGGCGTAAAATATAATGCTTATGTTCTCATATCGCGTCTTATTATGCCTTCTTTAAATCTTACATTGTTTAATTAGTAAAATAAAACAGATATTATATTAAAATGTTGCGTAATACGAACCTCGGACGTCCTATCCAAACGTACGGATAGGTGCGCTCGTTTATTTGCAGTTTCCTAAGAAACATGTGAAATTTATCGGAAGTTCCCAACTTTACTAGTGCTAGCACAGCAGGTGGAATCCAAACATTAACCCTTACGGCATCAAACTCGGGCAAGACTAGTACTCAGGCTCTCAGCTTTATTAACTTTTGCAAGCGGACGGGTTAATATTTTGAATAAGTGTCTTTTACGGCTTTCAGCCCTTCCCATAGCGTTCCGTGTGATCCCAATGTGCATAAAACAGTGTGGTATCACTGCATTCCCTGCGGTGGCGTGCAAGATCGCCTGTGTCGCTTGTTGGCCAAGATCTTGCTGTGCCATCCTTGGTATGAATATTTCCGTTCTCAACAGTAGGAATTATTATCAGCGAAGAACAACCACTTGATGCTGTTGCCGTTGGGGGCACGAAGAAAGCAAGACCCTACCGTGTTTTTGCACACGCTACCGAACTTCGTGTACTCGGTTCTGAACAATTCTTTGGGACCACGTTGCGCTTGACACTGCCGTGACTTCCCAAGCATACGACACGTGAACATGTCACCAAAACATCTCACATATTAGATGCATATTTGCCTGCCTCGGCGTAAACATAACTTGTTGCTTCGCGCGCCTCCAACTCGTGTTCGAACAGGCATATAATAAATACACTTTGGACGGTAGAATATTATCAAAGCACTACTCAGATTCGCATTAGCGCGAAGAAACATCAGAGCGAGTATCTTTTGCCAAAAGATGCCCAGGTCGAATTGGAAGTAGAATAGCTCATTGATCGTGTAGCTCCCTCTTTACTAGTAGACTATTTACTACGAACGAAGTAATCGTAGTTCTCCCGCCCGTCGCCACCAAAAGTTTGGGCCTAAAAGGGTTTGAAATAAAAAGAGCTGAAACACCTGTTTAAATCTTCTTGAGTGACAACCCAGTGTTGGGTTACCACACCTCGAGTTATGCCTTGAGTGCTCTATGATTTTAATTTTCAACATCCAGCGCAAAACAAAAAAAAAAAATGTATTTGTTGAAACTGGAAAGCTGAAACCTTCTGATAATCGTGCCGACGTTGTGCGAAATAAAAGGAGTTTATTGTTACCGCTCATTGAGGTTTCGCGGAGCATAACTTCTTTACTTGCCATTTAAAGGGCCATGAAACGATTTTTCTATTTTTGCTAAATACTACTAAGAATCACACCCGGACGTTAATAACTGAATAAACTTGCGTTAGTTTTTCGTTTTAAGGAATGTCAGTCAGCAAATAAATTCTAGAAATATGAGCATCGTTCATCGCCTTTACTCAAAGCCAGAACGAGCAGCCACGTGGCCTGGTGCCTATCCTGTGCCGCCAACGTTAATCATCACCAAGCGCTGGGGTCGGCAAAATATAAAACGCGCGCTGAGCTCCAGACGTTGCTAGAGTTCGGCTATTCTCATTACCGTAGTGGTTGGACATGAGCCACTACCCGAGTGTCCGCCGCGGCATTGGTTGTCACGAGCCGAAGTCGATTGCTCACGCAGACCTCGTGTCCAATCCATGAGCCGCGTTCGACTGTCGTGACCGTCAGGCGGGAGGGGTTCGATTCCACAAGGGGGAACATTGGCCGAGTGTGCTGGCGCACACCAGGGACCATAACCTGGACACTTGGCCAGAAAGTCGGCGAGAAATCTGG